CCTGCAGTCTTCAAAAGGAGCATGGCCCTGCTAACATTCTGATTTCAGATTTCTGGTCTCTAGAACTGTGAGATAATATGTTCCTATTGTTTTAAGCCATCTAGTACATGGCATTTGTTATGGCAGCTCTAGGGAACTAATGCACCCCCTCAAGGGCACTCCTTGACTCCTACCATTGTACCACACATGTTCAGCTATGCTCTCTGGCAAAAGTTCCTGTTTGCCTATGAAAATCAGCTCAATGCCCTTAAATTTTTCCTCAAGAACTCCTACCATCTCCCATCATGGAAATCTTCTTCAAAGGAGACTGAGAGTCCTCTCATCACCACAAACCTATCAAGAGAAGGTGATACTCTTCCATACTTACTCTTAGCTTTTCTAAGCCTAGGCCATTACTCCCACACTTTTTTTTCCCGTTTATATCAATTTTCCTCAGCTTTATAGAGATATAATTGACAAATGAAAATGCTATGTATTTAAGGTGTACAACATGATGTTTTAAAGTATGTATATACTATGAAATGATTACCACAATCAAGCTAATTAACATATATATCCATCACTTCACATAGTTACTATTTGTGTGTGTGTGGGTGAGAATACTTAAGATCAACTCTCCTAGCAAATTTCAAGTATACAATACAGTATTTTAAGTATAGTCACCATTCTATACATTCATCTTACATTCATCTTATTCAGCTGGCATAACTGAAAGCTTGCACTCTTTGGCCAACATTTACGCATTTCTCCTACTCCCCAACTCCTGGCAACAACAATTCCACCCTCTGCTTTTATGAGTTCAACTGTTTTGGGCACTTTGTCTTTTTTTTTTTTTCCTTTTTTTAAAGATCTTATTTATTCATTTGACAGAGAGAGATCACAAGTAGGCAGAAAGGCAGGCAGAGAGAGAGGGAAGCAGGCTCCCCACTGAGCAGAGAGCTGGATGCGGGACTCGATCCCAGGACCCCCAAAACCATGACCCGAGCTGAAGGCAGCGGCTTAACCCACTGAGCCACCCAGGCGCCCCACTTTGTCTCTTGGTGTCTGGTTTATTTCACTTAGCATAACGTCCTCTAGGTTCATCTATATTGTCACGAATGGCAGGAATTTTTTCTTCTTAAGGCCAAATAATATTCCACTCATATATATTATATATATTTTCTTCAACCATTCCTCCAGCAATGGACACTTAGGTTGTTTCCATAACTTGGCTATTATGGACTATTATGTGCTACAATGAGTATGAGAGTACAGATATCTCTTCAAGATACTGATTTCATTTTTTTTCCAGATATATACTCAGAAGTAGGGTTGCTGGATCATAGAATAGTTCTATATTTAATTTTTTAGTACCTCCATATCATTTTCCATAATGACTGCACTAATCTACACTCCTACCAACAGTGTACTAGTGTTCCCTTTTCTATGCATCCTTACCAAGTCTTGTTATCACACACCTCTATATAAAACTTCTCCCCAAAAGTCTACCCTCAGCCCCAATCAATCTTCACTCTATATCTTCTACCTCAGCAATTACCTTTCCCACCTCAATTATCAATTTTGTGAGAATAAGCTTCAGGTCTATATCCCAGTTCCCTTCTCAGCTCTAGACGAACATTCTTTGCTGTTTTTCTCCAAAAACATATGTATTGGTACCTACAATATATAGTATTTTTAACCAAACCACACTTCCAATCCAATCCCAAACCAACCTCTCCATTTAATTGACTCTTTTCTATTTGTGGCACTTGCAGTCTCCTAATCGCACAGGTTAAGAATTTCAAGTTCAAAATAAATAAATAAATAAATAAATAAAAATTTTTTAAAAAGAACTTCAACTTCAACTTTAGTTTTTTTCTTACCTTCAAGCTCTACTTCCAATCAATTGCTAAGCTCCATGGACCCCACGTCATAATTGTCTCCTAAGTCTGTTCCCTCTTCCATTTCTAGTCACTGTCCTATAACAAGCTAGGATTACTACTGCAAAGGCCTCTCAAATGGTCTCCCCATCTTCCACTTCTCATTAATATAATCTTAAATATGTTCTGATAGATCTCTCTCTCCTCAACAGTTTCCTTCATTGTCTAGAAGATGAATAAAATCACCTCTCCAGGAGGTGAAATATTCAACTTTGTGTCCATGTCAAGTCTTCCATTTTTGTCTCCTATACTTCACGACACAAACTATGCTCTGATCAAATTGTGCTATTTGCTAATCTCAAATATATTTTTGTCTTTTCAAAAAAAAAATCCTACAGTCAAGAATGCCTTGGGCTGATACTATAATAGCTAAGATATCAAGGGACTATTTGTCTTTATTTTATTGAGTTACTCCTGTCCTGCTCTCCCTAGAATAATCTTGGCTAGGTAAGAGCCATCACAGACATCTGTCTGTGTTCGTGACCATCATTCACTCATTTTCTTCATTTTCCAAGATTCACAGACACTTCCCCAAGTCTTAGATTTGTTAAAATAAAAAATGTTCTAATCAAACCATACAAGCAATTTATCACTAAACAGATTTTCACTTCCTTCTCATTCCATTATGATCTGTCTGAATTAATCAGAAAGGAAACATTAGAAGCCTCAATTTACACTGAAATTTCTTAGCAATCAATGTTTCTAAAGAGAGAAATTCAGAATAGAGTATGACAAAATTTATAAGAGTTGGGAAAATATATAATTTTTTTAATAGGCAGACATTCCACAAAATGAATTTATACATTGTCTTCTCAGTCAACATACTAAGATTTTTAAAAACACACTACTAACATGGTGACAGAAATGTCATCGATGTTGTAGTAAGAGAAGCGAATGTTAAAGAACTAATGAATTTTCATCAGTCATCAGATCATTTCAGAATGGGTTAAGTTGCTACCATTTGCTATTCCCATTAATATCATTGTCATGTAAAAGGTTTAATTTTCAGCTATTTTTGTTCTAGATAAAAATCTTTGTCATTAAAATGAGGGATGATTTTGATATTTAATATATTCCATGGCATACTCTAGTGTGGTACCAATTTGGCCTTTTCAGTATTCTGCATATTAATTGACAATCCAGCCCTTCTCCATTCCCCAGATAAGTGAGAGCTGAAATAGAATGGACAGCCAATCAAGTCACAGAATACTGAAAGGATCAACACTGAAGAAACGTGTTGCCCTAATCAGGCACATACACAAGGCACTAAAATTATTTTCTCCCATACGAATGACTAACATAGAAACAGGAATAATGAACGGAACCATCTGAATCCTTTTATGTGACAGTATTACCAGAGTATAGCAACGCTCCTCAAAAGTGAAAACTAAGTATTTCTTTTTTTAGTCAAATGAATAAAACTGCGATCTCACTTAACTTTTAGAACAATGCATTTTATCAGATTCTGCAACAACTGGCAAATTATGTCCTGTATTGAATTTTTCATAGCAATCGGTTTCAGGCATACAATGTGACCTGTAGTTGAAGAATGTACACGATCACTGCAAAAAAACATATCATCTCAATACATACTCTATCAGTTTCCTTCTCTTGTTGAATTATCACTCTGGTGAGAACCGACATCAGCTGCTTAAATAATGCATTAGCTCTGCTTCCAGAAGCTTTTGTTTTCATTTGAGTGGGCATTTCCTTTAAGATAAACTTTGGATTCTTACCGAAAAAGATAATATAATTCGTCATTTAAAGCACAATTGAATGTCTGAATCATTTTTATAGCAATAACGATGGAATTTAAAATTTCAAAGAGCAGAGAGTATGGTATCATGGACACTAACACAGGTGTGGACAGTTCTCCGATTAAATCAATTAACCCAATCCATCCAACAACACCAGGCCTTCTCTACATTTCCTGCAATAGCACAGCACTGGAACAAATGTTGAATATACTATCACGTATAATAATTTTTCATGTCCTAGCATATGCAGAGGAACAGATCCCAAGTATCTTCAAGTCTTTCAAGAGAAACCTTACTCCAATAATATAACTTTAGACTCCGTCCTTGCTAATTCTAGACAAGCCTAAATCACTCCCATTGTCTTTTTGAGCTGAACCCTCCAAGAAAGACAACAAATTATCAAAATAATTTCTTCCTTCAAGTTCAAAATTACTCAAAAATAGCCAAGGGGCACTTTAATTTTTCCACAAAATATTATTATTACTCTTAAAGAAAAAATATGTACATTTTATTCAGTAATTCTTAATAAGAAAAATAGTATTTGTTAAGTAACAATATGCCTCCTTTCACCCACCAAATTATGTGGTTAACCAATCAGCAATAAGATTTGTACTTTAAGTTGTTTTTTGTTTTATTCTGTTTTTTTCACACATGGAATGGATTTACAAACTCAAGGCTAAATATATATGTGGAAAAATGCCTACAGAGATTTGGATAAGCACCTTGGAAAAAGCCCAGCAGAGCTCATCAGCACCTTGCTCTAACCCAAATCTTACATACTGCCCTTCATTCCACTGTAAGCCATAGAGCATAAGGTAAGAATAAAAATGCAAAAAGTCAAATATGACAATAAGAATATGGCTGAAAGTATAGCCTTGGGGGCTACTTCAGTATTATTTTAAGATGATTACAAGTCTTAATCCCTCTAGTGTTGGATGTTAAATTCCACTGCCTTTTTTTTTTTAAATTTAATGACTTGCTAATGTAAACTTCCATCCAGAACAATCAAATAGTATGTCATTTATTCATATTTACAGTGGCTTTAATGTGCCATCAAACTCCCTCGTCAAAACAGACAACTTTAAAAAATGTTCACCTAAGTCAGGAGCTCTATTTCCTAAATTAGCACCAAAGTGTCACCTTGATAGACCATGAACAACAACATCATATATAATAAAACCAACTTCCCCCTAGAGTGGACAGCCTGGGTCATGCATCTGTAGGAGCTCTAATTATTCCACATAGATCAGAGAGCATTTGGAGATGCTCAGACTTCCACAACCTATCGCCTCCAAAAGCAATCATCTGATAAATATATGCTTACCAATCTCCCTTGAGATCTGAGTGAAGGCCTCCACACCACTCTCTCCATAGTTGCCCTCGGAAGCCAGTGTTGACACATAATTCCACCCCAGTGCCGTGACAATGTCCACCATGGCTTGAGCTTGGTAGGAGTCAGGTGGGACTACCCGAGAGAAGAAGTCATACCTGGTGTTATCACTTAGTTCTGGGGCTGTGGATGCATAGCTGATTTGAGGTATCTGCAAAACAAATGACAGATCATTTCAACCCAGGAGGAATCTGTCGAATGGAGAATTGTCACGCAAGAGACTAAGTAGCCAAAGCCATACCAGTAACTCAGACATATCAGCCTAAAGCCAAAATATGGTTTTGTGACTGCCAATTTTATTTTATTTTTATTTAGCATTTTATAAAAGTCTGTAGGCTCACTTTCTTTCAAAACACATTTCTAAACAGCAAGAAAGAACTTAGTATTACTTCAGGTTCTGAAGCCAAAGCAAAACATTTGTGCCTTTTGTTGCTCTTTTTTTATACCATAAAGTTCTGGCACAAAAATGAAGCCAAAATGAAAGCATAGTGCATACGCACATCAGAAAAGGCCACCTCTGAAACTGTATTTGCCTTTAGGACATAAAGACTACATGATCACAAACAGAGAATTTAATAAGAGATTTTTTTACAATTGATACAATTTCAGTCCTAAGATCACACTTTTGGTAAATTACTTTAAATATACAGTTTTGTGAGTCTATTGACTGTTTATTGATATGATCGTTCAGTACCACAAAATGATATGGGAACAGTCAACTATGTATCTTCTAATGAAAAGATGGTTCCAGCTGCCCACCTCAAAATACTAAAAAATGGGAATCTATACCATCATTTCTTTAGGAAAAGAGACAATTTTCTGACATATGTAGGGTGAATTACCAGACTTTGAAAATTAGGAATCCTATATCATTTATCCAAATAAATCGAAGTAACAAATTAACTACATGCCACAAATCTCCCCCTAAAAATCTTTTAAAATGTAACATTTACTCATATATCCAAATGAGGACTTTTACTCTACCAGTGAAAAGTGCTAGGATAGAAGAACACATGATGCTAAAGAAGTAGAGTGGAAGGACATTCAGCCGAGATGGGGCACAGACAATGCAAGAAATCGGCAAACAAGGTGAGGAAGGACATTTCAGTCACAAAGAACTGCATATCCAAAGGCATACAGTCAAGAAAGGGCATGGTAGATTCCAGGATTTGTAGCATTTCACACAGAGGGAAAGCGAGATAGCAAGGGAGGAACATCAGGAAATAAAACTGCAAAGCTGGGCAGATAAAGGGCTAGTCGGGTATGACAAAAAGTGTGGATTTTATCACAAAGGCATGGGGAAGCACAGAATGACTGTAACTAAGATAGTGGCATAATCAGATTTTTGTTTCAGAAAAATCATATTGGCAGCTGTGGAGAAAGTTGCAGCCCTCAAATTTCAATGTACACCTAGCTAGCCCCATTCCTGAAAATTCTGACTTGGTATGTCTGGAGCCTTAGAAGTCTGCATTTCAATATGTTCTCCAGAAGAATCTAATGCAGGGGGGCCCATCTTATGCTTAGAGATAAATTAAAGGAAAGCTATGTTAGATGCAGAACAATGAGTTAGAAAATTATTATAGAAATCTAAGTAAGAAAGTATGAAAACTGGGGGTGTCTGGGTGGCTCAGTCATTAAGTGTCTGCCTTCAGCTCGGTTATGATCCCACGGTCCTGAGGTCGAGCTCCTTCCTGCTCCGCGGGAATCCTGCTTCTCCCTCTCTCACTCCCTCTGCTTGTGTTCCCTCTCTTACTGTGTCTCTCTGTGTCAAATAAGTAAGTAAGTAAATAAATAAATAAAAAGTATGAAAACTCAATTAAGGCAATGATGGGGAAGGATGGGGTTAGGGAAGGGTGTGGACTCTGTAAGTATCTAAAAACCAAGGTAAGGTGAAGGTAATGAGGGTAAATGTGGACTGACTCTTAGTTCTATGGCTGTAGTAACTGGGTGGATGCTGTTTGCTATTTACCAAGATACATAGAGAAAGAGGAGATTTAGAAGACAAAAATTATGAGTTTAATTTTTTTTTGGCTTCTTTTGAGCTTACATGAAGTGAATGAAAGCAACTAAAAAGTAGGTAATAATATTGGGGATGTGGAGTTTAAGAGTCTCTGGGACTGGAGATAAAGAATGGTGGGGGCATAACGAAGAAGACAGTCAAAGCCAAGGAAAGTATGAAGAGTGAAAGAGGGCAACTTGGGAGCATGAGCTATGCAACAGTGCATCTCGCCGCTCCTCTGCTGCCCTGCCACAGTGTGCAAGTTCAGAGGTCATAATGAATCCAAGATGCCCCAATTCAGGTCGCTTGGTTAAAGATGCAGGTCTGACTGGTACATAAAACAATTAACTTTGTTCTGCATCTGATCCTGCAGGTAATGTCAGTGCTAAAATGTCCAAAAGGCTGCACTTCCATCTTCCCACATACAGCTGACTGCATAGTCTGCAATGCATTCCCTACCACACCCTGGCCAGATAATTTCCAGTCCACATGGAGTGGACTCTCCCCTTGACATCCTTGAAAAGCCCTCAACATCTGAATAACCCTTTCATGGGTCTAGAGAGTCCTACTTCATATCTATAGCCAATAAAGTGAAACTAAACTTCCCAAGGTACAAAAGTCTTAGTTACCCAAGCAGCGTCTAGAACAACGTGCTTGGAGCTCTCCATGGTGCTGCAGGATCTGTTCAGCTTCTGTATAACCTATATCTCTATATATTGCCTATAACAATGATTTTATCCTATCTAACCCCCAATTCTTCCTGGTCCTATTCTCCTAGTGGGACCATGTTAACTTGCTTGTTAACATTGTGGGACCATAAAAACCAGTCCGTCCTGCCTCTTTCCTGCCCCTTTGCTTTCTTTGCTAGATAAGATTGTTCCCTTGAATAGACTTTGTGCTTATGACTCCTCAGCAAGGACACCTCTTCAAATCTCAAACCACACACCAAATCTGGGCCTCTTTCACCTTCTATTGCTTGCTTCTAAATAACCTCAGAAAGAGACAATGAATGACTCAGTGAGATCTACCTTTTACTAAATAAAACTCCCAAAGACCAAGAGCATGTACATTTCTACACTCTAATGAAAAATATTCAATAGCCTGACTTTCACTTTGGAAGGAATTCTGTGCATGTGTGAATGGTGTGTGTGTGTGTGTGTGTGTGTGTGAGTGTGTGTGTGCAGGTAGGAAGAGACAGGGGAGCATTCTACGGCTAATTCTATAGCACTATACCATTTCCTTGTCTTATTCGGATATATGATAACCCTCCCACTTCCTCAGCTACTCAGAGTCCAGCAGTAAAATGCTTTACACAACTCCCACCCTGCCTATAATAATGAGCCACACCTTTCTAAAAATGAGCACAAAGTGTGAAAATTGAGTGTTTGAAACCAAAACTAATTATCTCAAATTACTACCTTCAGTCAGTCACTTTCAGGGCTGTTTAATTAGCAGTCAGCTTCATGTTTAGGATTAATTAAACAGGTGTAAAGGGTATATAAAATAAAAGTGCAGATAGAAAATGGTAGTTTGAATAATTAGGTAAAGAACTTACTCCCCAAAGTCTTAAGGAGTTTTCTCTTTGCAGATCAACATGTAGAAAAGTGAGAGTACATGTTTGTGTTTTCATTTGCTCAATTTTTGCTATGTTGCAGTCTACAATAATAGACATCAGAGTATACTGATCATATTTTAAGACAACTTTTCAAGTCATTATGAAGTTGCATCTCATTTTAATTTTATTGTGGTTGACCACTAAGCACTGGCTCATTAAGCATTTTAATTTCTGTGCCAGCATTCCCAATAATTCCACTATCCTCAAATTAACCCCCTACTGGCAAATGCAGTGGGTTTTGTTTTGGCTTTTTGGGTTTTTTTGTTTGTTTGTTTGTTTTTTTCTTAAAATCTGGAATCTTTCTTTTTCTTTTCTCTCCACTAAATCCATCCTAATCCCTCTTCATTTACTAGAGTTTCATTTACTAGAAACAACAAGAATAAAAAAAGAAAAATGAAAAAGAAATGGTAAGTGAGGGACAAAAGTAGAGAGGGAAATGAAAAAGGAAAGGACAATGTACCAAGAAAAGAGGGTGTTAGGGAAAGCATTCTGCATCAGCTCATTCCTTGTAATAAGTAACATCCGCCACAAGCCTCTATTAACTCTCACTTGCCCATTCAAAAGATATCCTGACTCTTCAGTCTGGGTCACCAAACCCTGAAGTCAGACTCCATCCCATCCTCCTACCTAACCTACTGTCTTCCCTGTCATGCCCTGGTGGAGTCTGCACTCCTGCACATGCTATTCCCTATGTAGCCCATTCTGTCCACCTGGCAATCTTCTGCCCAAATTCAATATCCAACTCAAAAGTCACTTCCTCCCTAGGAAGCTTCTGCTAACTCTTTCAGGCAGAGCAGTTTTTTCTGCTCCTTGCTCCCACAACCTCCATCATCTGACACGAGAACTATGACTGAGTGCTGGCTTATGAGCCTCCCACTGAAAAACTCTCTATTGATTTATTTGGTATCCCTAGCATCTGACAGAACAAATGCTCAAAAATTTTTGGAGACAATTAATTAATTAAACTGTGGCAGGAATTTTGATGCAGACTCTTCCCCACAGCCTTCCACCCCGCATTCCACCAAAATATTGGACAAACTATTCTCCATTTGCCCTTTTTACTCCTTCTCCTTCCTGCTCTATGTCCTAGGAGGCTGCTCTCTGACTATCCACTTGATAGTCACCTCAGGCTTCCATCTGAGTTTGGCCATTGGGAGACACCAAGAGAGAGGGAAGGCAGGAGATAGAAGTGAGGATTGATGCTCCCAATTTCTTCCACCAACTTGGTATTCCTCTGCCTAAGCCCTCATCCATAGCTAGAGTTCTTACAAGGTTCTAGTGACTATTCTCTACACTTACCCCTTCAGATCTTAGTGTTGCCGATTCCTGAGTACTTCCTATCCAGTGATGGGTCCTTTATCTTATAATAGTACTTATAAGTTGTACTTATATCTTATAAATAGTACTTCTAAATAGTACACCTTATAAATAGTACTTTTGTTAACCTCTCTCCCATCACCCTGTGAGTGTGCCAGAAGCCCTAATATACCCACTCTTCCAGGTCTCTGTAGAAGAGACATACATTGCCAAGCTTCCC